TTTTTTGTATTTTAGGGAAGGGTCTACAGGGTGTTCAGGGTCTCGCTATTAGATTGGACTCATAGTGATCCATCTGATTACAGCCTCCCAAGAGCTGGGATTACAGGTGCGCGCTACCATGCCCTGTCTCAATTGCCATCTCAGCGTGCCCTGAAGACGGGGCCAGCATGGCAGGCCCAGGGATCGAATCCCTCGCTCCTGTTCCTGCTTGCAGGTGCTTTAATCTGCTGAGCTATTTGGCCAGCCTGAGAGACTATTATCTTATAAAATCCCATAGTATAGTCTTTTTTTGATGAATGTAATGACAATGTATTGCAAATATGTGCTAATCTAAAATCACAAAGAACCACTCCAAAGAATTTAAAATAGCACTTGGGAGGATGAAAATAGGAGGATCACTACGAGTCTGATCTGTGTGGTGAAACCCCGTAGGCCCTGTACTAACTACATTAAAAAAAATTAAAATAAATTTAACTGTGCCATTGGTAATAATTAATGTGAGCTGTAATTTAAAAGTGACCACTTTAAGGGATGAGTGCTCTTTTGTTGGCGCTGAGTGCCAGATAGGTGTTGTCTTTCTTGACCTTGATCTAATGTGGTAATGGCCAACTGGGGAGAGTTCTCTTGGGCTTAAGCCAAGTCCTGCTGCTTTGAAAATGGGCTCTGCACAGAAAACCGTCAAACACATGCACGGAGGACAGTTGAAAATCATTTCCCTCAGTCAGTAAGCACCCCACATTTCAGCGCTCTTACCCCTCAAATGGGTGACTGGGGCTAAAGCTGCCTCTAGTCACCTATTGCACAGCCTCTGTTCCGCCTCCCAATGCTGACCCCCTCTGCTTTGTTTTGCTTTGTATTTTATTTTACAGAGAAGAAAAGATAAACATAACAATGAAGCCAAGAGCCAGGGAGATGGCTCAGTAGAATAAGCATTTCCCTGGCAAGCGCAAGGCCTGAGTTCAATCCTTGGTTCTGCCAAAAAAAAAAAAAAAAAAAAAAGGCAAAGTAACAATGAAGCCGAGCTTCAAAACAGGTTAGCAGGGCAGTGCCAGTAGTCTTCATAGAAGCTATTTAGAGTAGAAGATACCTAGTCTGTACCATGGTAGCACAAAGCTTTGTTTTTAATGGAATAAGAGAAGCTAGCTGTATAACTGTCTGAACTACCACGTGCATGCATACACTTTTCCTTTCTCCCTTTCCCCGTCATAGTTTGTCTTTTCTTTTGAACAGCTGGAAGTCATGATGGTAAGAATGGAGACTGTTTACGATGCGGCCACCTGGAAGGCGTTGGGGGAGTTGGCAGAGTCGGGACTTAATTGCGACGAGGACTTAGACCTGTTTATCAGGCTCTAGACCACCTCGCTCCAACTTGCAGGTGTCAGTGCAGTTTTCTACTAGAGGTTTATCTCTGAGATGGAAAATGCTGTCTTACAAGAACCAGAATTTCATATGTAAGAAATTAACCTGACTCACTACATAGGACACAGCGGTCTTACCATCAGCCTGAGAGGAACTCTCTAGGATAGCAGCGCTAGGCATTCCTCTCAGCAATGCTTCTGACTGACAGACTGATAGATGGGAACTTTCCAGGGATAGGTCCAGCAAGAAATTCCAGCCCTCATGTGACGTGATGGGTTAAAGGCCTTACGAACAAGGAGGACATTTCAACAGGGAGTTTGCAAATGTGCTGGTGCGGACTTAGAGATGGGAACCAGAACTGCTTCTCAGCATCTGCATCCTGCTTCTTCACCAGTGGTCATGCTGACGCTGGTATGTGGTCCCCTCTGGTGGAAACCAGGTACACACAGCTCCTTTGAGTATCTACTTTATTCTACTATTGCTCTTTGATGTTGTGCCTACTTAGTTTAGGTCAGACCATTTTGAATCTGATCACAAAACTGGACAGCTATAAAAAAAATAAAGCAAATTTTTATGGCTCAAATAACATTGCACAGCCGTTACATTGCCCGTGCGAGGTGTCTCATTGAACAGCCTGTCTCTGGTGAGTTCCTGTGTCCCCAGGGCAAAGGGGACTTGCTGGGAACACACTTTCTCTGGAGAGCTCAAGGCACGGAGCCATGGTCGGGATGCTGAGTAGGCGACCGGAAGACGGCACGCAGCACCGCGTCATCTCCAAGCCCCCTCCGCAGTTTCCCCAATCCCGAGTCTATGACCAAACAGGTCATATGAGCATGTCAATTTCTCCTTTAAGCAGTAAAAGTTAACCTCATGGAAACCAGCCCTCTTCCTCAGGTGAATTTCTCACTAAGCTTTACTGAAACACTGATTTAAAGTGGGTCAGAAAGCTTTCCATTTTTTTCCCCAAACAGACAAACTTAGAAATGCACACGTACGCATCAGCAGGTGCATGCAAATTCCTCTCACTGGTGGCCTTCCTTTTGGTAATGCTGACTCCATCTGTCCTCAAAGAATCAAGGTCAGCCAGTGACTGGTTTCAAGTTGGAACGGATGTCACCAAGGAGCGAAGTTTAAAATTAAACAAGCAAACCAAACCACACTTTGTGGTTGGGCTATCAGTCAGGTTATTGGCTTTTTTTTTCTTTTGAGCAATTTTGAAGAGAATATGATTTAGACAACTATAGAGCATATTTAAAAGAAAAGATATAGCATTTGAATTTGGAAAAAGTTGACACTTGTTTTTTTCTTTTTTAGACAGAATAGAGGATGAACTGGTGACATTGGTAGCTCCATGAACTGGAAACATAGTAAAACCAGGACATGATGATGATGTATTCATATAGAAAAGCCTTGGGTAATAAAGTATGGTATAAAAATATGAATCCATCACAGAGAATGTGGAAATAGAGTTGGAAGCAAAGATCTGGGCAAGGACTGCTCAAAGCCATCTCTCTAAGGCTTCCTAGAAGTCAAAGAAAAGGAGCTATACGCAGTACTGCACCTGTCATCATCAGAAAACAGCCAGCTGATTCCTTCAAGAAGGTAGATTTCTATTTTTATCATTAGATTTTTGAGGTAGGTTTTCACCAGGGACTTACATAAGACCTTGGATAGTATAAGTCACGTACCAGGTTTATATGCAGATATTCCCTAGGATCAGGTGGGTGACTTTGTCCACCTCAGTGGCCACACGTCCTCGAGACAATCGTATCTTCTACATTTCTGTTTCCTTATCTAGAAAATGGAAACGGCATGGAACATGCCCCACTGGTATCCAGTTGTGATGAGCAAATGAAGTGACACATGTGGTCCAGCATGTGCCAGGGACTCAAAGAATGTTGGTAAAATATGCATATTTATAGACTTGGCTGGGCATGAAGATCCTTTTGAAGAGAGGGGGCCGTTCAGCCTGAGGAGCTCAGGTTGTTGCTCAGCTCAGCGTCTGCTCGTGCTGATCAACACGTCAGTCTTCTCAGGCAGCCAATCTGGGGACAGCCCTGGACAGCAGACACAAGCATGCTAGTGATTAGAGAGCCCCTGGTGCAAATTATTAGGTCAGTTCTTCTAGTTTGTATGCTGCTGCATGGAAAATAAATGAATTTCAAGATTTATACTGCATTGAACTTCACCCGGAACTGTCAGTCCACATGTGTCTGTAACTATCATCTATCATCTACTTATCATCTATCTCTGTCTGTCTGTCTGTCCCTCTCTCTATCATCTACCTGGCCTCATAATTCCAACTTTTAGAAAAGCTTGTGGAGCATACTTTCTATTGGTAGAATTTTAAATGTTCCATTTTAGAAAACCTATTTTATTTTGGAAAATCAGGCCACATTATCATACTTAATATTGTTTGTAACTATTTTTTCCTTATAACGCCATGTAAACAATTTGCCCCCCCCCCGTTTTTTAGCCTTGCATGACTGTGTATCAGAGAGAGAGAATCAGAGAGAGAGAGAGAGAGAGAGAGAGAGAGAGAGAGAGAGAGAGAGATTGCAGCAGATCAGCTATCTAGCATCTCCAGAAGTAGGGAGCAACAGGCTGATCGGCTTTCTTGGGTTCTCCGGCCCCTCCTCTCAGCAGCCCTGACTCGGACACCCGGTGCTGCGCCAGGCTCCGATGGACCTCTCTGCTTGGGAAGTGGCAGTTCTTTGGTTGCTGAGCAGAGCTGCTCCCACCGACATGCTAAAGATGCCAGACGCCGGGGTGGTCCGCACTGCGCTAAGTGGGACAGTGTTGGTGAGCTCACGGCTCTG